GGGGGGGGGGGGCTCGGGATGGAGGACAACTGATAATGAAGTCCAGGTCTCTCGGTGCAGAGAGCCAGGGAAAGCTGTGATCACAGACAGCTTGATGTGATTACAGAGGGGGAGGGCTTGATTAGATTGAGGGGTGGAGGAGGAGCAAAAGATAGAAAGGCCTGAAAAAGAAGCAGAAGGATATGCTGCATAAAACAGAGGCAGAAATATAACATGTGAAAGGAGGAGGGAGGGGAACCTGGAGGAACAGCTGCACAAAGGCTATTTATTCCACCGCTGGATCGTTTCCTGGTGATAAGTCAAGTGGAAATGATAAGCTACACTGCACAGCAAATTCCACCTGTCTGTCCTCCAACTCCTCTCTCAACCCCTCTCTCTCTGTCATCCTTCCATTTGACCATGTGCCTCACTTCCACTGGTTTAAATTAGAGAATCCTGAGGACAGAGGAGGCTCTTGGCAGTTCTCCCACTTATGTCATGCAGTTCTCCTACCTGGGAAGGAGACAGATGGGAGGCCTAAACCCTTAAAAACCTCTCTAAACACTGGTGCCTCCATGAGACCTTGAAAAACAGCTGCGCTTGTTTTTGGGCTGCTTCTCTCTCCCATCATCATGAGCAAGTGGAAAAATGGGATAATGGAAGTGGTGTAAAAAGGCATTGAGTTAATTTGTGTGTCTCTGTAAATCCCATTCAAGTGTTTGAAGGCTGCAGAGCTCCATAGAGCCAGAGCGAGATAGAATGAGGAGTCTTGGATTTGTGTGGCTGGCATGAATGAACGATTCTCTTCTGCTATTCCACAGTGTCACGTTAGGATGTTACAGTGAAACCGATCGTTATTGGGTTTGTGCAACAATATGCACATAAGACGAGGCAAAAAAAGAATTAGACAGCTGTGTGTTCTGACTAACCCTCAGAACACACAGAACCTGGTGGGAAAGTGTGTGTACTTCTGAATGTGCTTCTGTTATGAGGTAGCTTTGGTTTGTCTCCACAATAAATCAATGTTTTCACTAAGCACTTACATATATACTCTTCATATATACACTTTTATCCGTGGTCTTTTCACTTTACCCTTATTGTCCGGCTTTTATCTCTCTCCACAGCTGAGCTGAATGTGGAGCTAGCTCGCCCTCTGAAAATCAACCCCACCCTGGCTAAGCTGGAGCAGGCTAAAGCATACCTGATGAAAGTCCTGCCAAACCACACCTGGGGAACCTCCAGTAACCCTCCTTCTTCTTCCCCCAACCCCTACTCCTCCCCTGCCAAGACTCTGCCCAGGCCCCCCCCTGCTCACTCAGAGGCCTCCGCCCTGGGGAAGGACAGTGTCAGGGCTCTGGCGCTTTCCTTCCACAAGGTCTCTCTCCACACTGCCCAGATTGTGGTAGTCATGGAGACAGAGGCCCATCCAATGAGGCCCAGTGTGACCGCAGCAGTGTCTGCCATGACAGGAAGTCTGAATATGAAGTCAGGGCCAAGGATCGAAGGTGAGTAAAACCACTACAGCTTTTGCAACAAACTAAAAAATGATATTATGCTGGCAGGGAAACACAATAAATACAAATGAGATAAACACAAGGCCCAGTTAATGAACACAGGATGCAGGATCCCCTGTGATGCAGTGAAGAAACATCAGATCATATGTGTGTTATCTGACCACTGTTTGAGGGGCCAGCCACTACTAGATGTTATATTCTGAATCCTCCGTGACCCTGTGGTCACCTTCATCTTCAAACCAGAACTGTAAAATAGTTGTAAGTTAAAGCAGTTAACAAAAATGTTTTGTTGGTCTGCACAGTGTGACATTGTTGTCAATAGTCCTGGGCAGGCAGAACTATGGAATTGGCCAGCCAGATGTTTCAAACGAGAGACAATTTAAAGAAATAGTTATATATAATGCTAAGTTTCAGTTTGTTTATTCAAGTTTGTGCTCCCCAGCTTCAGGCTGTCAAAACGTGTTCTCTTTTCTCCAGCCCCCTGCTGAGACTCCTCTGAGTCACTCAATATCCATGCGCTTTTTCTCCAAAGTAATAAGGGCCTGGACCTTAAATGACTTACTTTATTATTTCTTTCATTTTTTCAATGTGAAAATGAAAAAAAAGAAAAAGTGATTTTGCTGCATTGAAAAAAAGATATTGCCACTCAAGATATTGCTGTCAAGGACATTCTGGAAACAGGTGGAGCTACATTGGAAACAAATGCAATGACTTCACCCCATTTGGTAGATTTGATCATCTGTTAGAGAAACCACGAATGTAAGTCTCAGTAATGCACTACTCTAAATGTACATGTTTCTTTGTGGTGTGTCATGTGCCTGGTACCAAAGCGTACTGCCAACAGGAAACAGTCCAGGCCCTTTGAAATGAAGTCAAGTTACACATTGCTTCAAATATCCAATACAAAGAAAATAGTGGAGAATTGTTCTGATCCATGTCACAGTTTAATCAAACAAATGTTGATGTGGACAAACTCCATAAAGCAATAGCCAGTGCAATTTGTAATTCAGCTGGATTGAAATGTAGCTAAATAAAAGAACAGCTTGAGTAAATCCATTCTGATTTTCTATTGATAACTATCTCACTGCATAGTGCATATTCAAACTGTCCACTCTGCAGCCTTGTTTGCTGAGAACAATTGGATGTCTTTGCCTTTTTAACATTTTGACACTTGAATTTGTTCAGACTGGGAAACAAATACCAGTATTATTTGGAATATTGCTTTTTTTTTTACACATGCTAGCAAAGCCCTGATCTGCCAACAAAGGGTTTGTCACAGACCCGGCGCCAGAACAAATCTAAAGGGAGGGCATATGATTTTCATGGGAGGGCACACAAAACCGTCATGTGCTGCGGGTCTGCGGCACAATATATATCAAACAGCAAGGCCAACAGCATTGCGCAAAGACGCACACTTATCGCAAATACATACACAAATAAAGGGCAACATAGAAACCACTTTTGAAACATTGTGTGCGTGGCAGCAC